TTAGACCTAGATTAGATTACTGTTCATAAACAGTTAAGGATGTGTGATGTTCTAGTATTAGGGATATGCGAAGATTGACTCAGGATAAGAAACAGTGGAGATGTGTGTCCTAACAGTCTTTTTAGACTGACGACCTTCTGATGATGATGATGATGATGACATAATAAATAAATAAATGTCAAATGAATGAAAAAAATGAAAAACAGAAAATGAGAAATTCAACTTAATTTTGATCACACTTCTTGTAGGTAAGCCTAAGAAATTCTAAATTCGACGTAAACAACTTTTTCGTATAACTATTGACAAATGTACGTTTCTATTCAGAACAAAGAGTCAGAACGAATGAAATTACTTCTGGGAAGATACTAAGGCTTTCAGGATGTTTTTTAGTTGTGCACCCCAATTGATATCAAAAGAAAATAATAATTTAACAATTTGTCGTTTCTGCTGTCGGAAAGCTTTTCCTCGACTATTACGAGGGCGGTTCAATAAGTATCCGTGTTTGAAGACAGAGGACGTTTCTGAGGGAAATTGGTGTTGTCATCGTGTGCTGCCATCTATCAAACCACGCCAAAATGAATTTCAGAGTGATTGATAGGTTAGTTTGGATTTTGCAGCCATTCGACTGAGACGTGTTTCGTTATTTTCGCTAAGATGGAAAAAGAGCAGTATCGTTCGGTAACTCGCTTTTTGTTTTCGGATGGGGAAAAAATGCGAGGAGATGAAAACAAAGTTTGATACTGTTTATGGAGACATTTCGCCATCTACGACCACAGTTAGATATTGCTTCAACGAATTTAAACGTGGGCAAAGATCAGTTTTTGATAGGAGCGACCAGTAAGCCTGGCAGACGTTGTTACCGAGGAAATCATTTTACGGATTCTTTAGGAAAAGGAAGAACGATCACTGGACAATACTACAGTGAGTTATTGGACCGCTTCGACAAAAAATTGAAGGAGACACGGACGCATTTGACGAAAAAGAAGGTGCGTTTTCAACACGATAACGCACCGGCACATTCATNTCTAGGAAGTCAGATAAGTCAGGACGGAAGGAGTAGTAGGGATATAAAGCAGAGGATAGCGCAGGGTCGAGTCTCCTTCAATAAAAAGAAGTCACTTCTATGCTCGCGAACGGTTAATTTTGAAATTCGAAAAAGATTGTTAAATGTGTATGTTTGGAGCGCGGTGCTATACGGGTGCGAAATATGGACGGTGGGCGCAGCGGATAGGAAAAGGTTAGAAACGTTCGAAATGTAGTGTTACAGATGAATGATGAGGATACCGCGGATAGAGAAGGTTAGAAATGAGGAGGTATTAGAAAGAATAGGAGAACAGAGGACTCTATGGAGGTCAATAAGAAATAGTAGAACACCTTCTCTAGAGCGAAGGGCTAGTTAGACATATTAGAGTCAGAAACAGGAGTAAAAAAAGGAGTAGAGTTAGACCTAGATTAGATTACTGTTCATAAATAGTTAAGGATGTGTGATGTTCTAGTATTAGGGATATGCGAAGATTGACTCAGGATAAGAAACAGTGAAGATGTGTGTCCTAACAGTCTTTTTAGACCGACGACCTTATGATGATATAATAAATAAATAAATGTCAAATGAATGGAAAAAAATGAAAAATAGAAAATGAGAAATTCAACTTAATTTTGATCACACTTCTTGTAGGTAAGCCTAAGAAATTCTAAATTCGACGTAAACAACTTTTTCGTATAACTATTGACAAATGTACGTTTCTATTCAGAACAAAGAGTCAGAACGAATGAAATTACTTCTGGGAAGATACTAAGGCTTTCAGGATGTTTTTTAGTTGTGCACCCCAATTGATATCAAAAGAAAATAATAATTTAACAATTTGTCGTTTCTGCTGTCGGAAAGCTTTTCCGGGACTATTATGTACTAGTAGCTAAGTAACCGTCTGAGTAATGCCTAAAAATGAAAGAGGTAACATTTGTTGATGGTGAAATTTAACCTTCTAGATCGGTACTTACTAAATGTTTGTTTCTTCCTTAATGCAATACAATCCACTTACCTATCGACTTACTAAGAAAGAAACTGTTTCAACTACTTATGTGTAAGGAGAATTAGAAACTGCAGCAAGAGCAAGAAAAGTTTTAACAAAGTAAGAACAATACGGATTGAAATGCACCCATACAATTCAGATGCTCCTCGCACTTAGGTCTTTACCTCTCAACGCCTCGGTACTACAAACAATCTCTTCTTTCTTATCAGTTACTAATTCTGTTGAAAGAGTAGTCCATCCCAATCTCCGATATCTAAGTCAAAGCTGGAGAGACTGTCTTAGTCTTGATTTTGCTTATTCGGTCTTGCTGTTGCTCAAATACTTCTGGTCTTGTTCTTGATCTTGGTCTTGCGTGTTAAGTCTTGGTCTTGTTCATTTAATCTGATACTNGTACTCTAGGCTGGCTGTAGAAATACGACACAGATAGTAAGCAGTTGCTCATTGAATACGGCGTTGCAGTGTCGTATTTCCCTGCGTCATCTTACCAGGGCCGGACTGACTCTTACCTGTACTTTCAAATGCATTTTTCTTGAAAACGGTGGACTTTCGGATTACCAACGATATACGTAATTTTCTTATTTTATAGTGCCTTATCACCCCATAAATTGACTTATTAACAAATCAAAAACCTTGGTGGTAATTTTAATTGAAATAAAAGCCTTATACTTTAGTAACGTATTTTTTTAATTTTCAGGTTTAATTTACAGTTCCTTGTTTTATACGCACAACAAATTTAAACGACTAAGTTTATTCCGGAAAGTTTTTGAACGTTACCCCTGTATGTAGGTACATATTTTCGAGCTCTAGCTCACTTTTATAACTCAATTTGCATCATCTACGATAATATTTGAAAAGTGTCGTCGGTTCAAATTTAAATTACGTTTCACCGCGATGTAGATAAACATTAAAAGTTCTTCCAACATTAACGCATTATCAACGGTTGCATGGGGATATGGCTTTTAGATTGCATGACTAACTCTTTAATAGCAGAATTACCTTTTTTATCCCGTAAATTCTGACGATCCTTTAGCTACTACAAGCCTGCAGTATAATGTCGCTTGTAAACTTTGTCCATGTAGTTGCGTATACAGTCATGTGTAATTGTATACCATAAATATGCAAATTTCTTTTGTACAGGTTCAGGCAATACTTCAAAACAGCGATATGCAGTTGGAAATACATTCTGAAAAGAAACACGTTCAGAAGTGGCTCGGACTCGCCACCATTCATAGGAAAAAACGAAGTTTTCTTACGTAAAATTACTTTAAATTGTCGTTTTATTAGCATCAGTGAATTCTTTTTTAGGATATAAAAACAACGCGTAGGTATATGAAATTCAGGAAAAGAAATTCTATAATATTGCTTAGACAGTAGGTAATAAATAATATGAAACATGGTTCTAATGATAGTATGGGGCTAATTACTTCCTACTTTTTTAAAAAATTGGGTAGTTAACGTTTTTAATTTACACAACATTTATCTGACACATGTGATATAAGACATGCTCTGAATGAGTCTCGCTACATAACAAAAGACCAAGAGATAACAACCGGCGANAATAAGTACCTAATACAGGTGAAAAAATGGAAAACTACCCTTCTAGTAAAATAATTGTTGTGGAGTAAGTACAATAAATAAATGTTTTGTTTCTTGAAATCTAACCATTCTAGCTGTACGGGTAACAATAGAATAGGCAACAGTGCGTACATAGGATTCGTAGATTTAGAAAAAACAAGATGTTAAATATATTTAAAAATGTAGGAATGAGTTACAGAGACAGAAGAATGATACTTAGTAGGGAAGACAAAAAATTAGAAAGTGACTGATTTTCGGTATTTGGGAAGTCAGATAAGTCAGGACGGAAGGAGTAGTAGGGATATAAAGCAGAGGATAGCGCAGGGTCGAGTCTCCTTCAATAAAAAGAAGTCACTTCTATGCTCGCGAACGGTTAATTTAGNTTGCTCAAATACTTCTAGTCTTGTTCTTGATCTTGGTCTTGCGTGTTAAGTCTTGGTCTTGTTCATTTAATCTGATACTTACGTATTCTTCAATACAGAAGGAAGGCGAAATATTTTTTGTGTAGTATTACTTCTCCATTATTTTCCTGAATGATCCAAGAAAACCAAAAAAAATAATTGAACCAGGGTCGGACTGTAACCTTCGAGATAGTTTGTGGGTAATTTCCATTTCTTTTTTTATATTTTGTTGACACATTTACATTTGTAGGACAACATGACACAATGTTTTATAGAGCATTATCTTTATTACAACATTTATGCTTTCCCCGGGCAATATAATGGTCTCGTCGCTCAACATAAACTGAAACGCTACAAGTGACACTACGGTCGAGGGTAACTGTTGTAATCAAATTTTAAAACCGTTAGTAATATTGTGGGGGTTAATTTGTCGAGGGTATATTGTCTCTTCACTATATAGGAATTAGGTTGAAAGTTGAGTGTTAAAGAGTCAACGCAGTTATAGGAAGTGTAGAAAATTAAGGATATTCCTGCTTTTATAAAAAAAAAAACAACTCTTTTTATTAAGAAGTTCCCAGTTGATCCAAACTTATTTTTCCAGAATTTGCAAATTGAGTTGTCAGTTAAACATTTATGACATGCTTGTAAGAAGGATGAAAAGTATATAATGATGCAATTAAGGATTTATGAACACCTTAAACTTTCCTGGCACAACAACATGGTAAAATTAAAGTTCAAAAATACCAAAAAAAAAAGATGCTTTTTATGCGCTAATTGAGTGCCAATGTCTCAAATTAGGGCCTCCTAAAAGGAATCTACTGTTTCTACGACCCACGAGATTCTAAACTGCTTCTACTTTTGATTGATTCATTCATACAGACTATGTCAATAACGTACACCCGATCTTCCAATAATTTTACTGTAATTGTTAAAATTAAGCAAAATCGGCGAGTGTATTTACAAACAGTTAAAATGTTTCATTTATTTGTTCTAGTGTTCGACAAAAAGAAATTATTGCTTGTATATTGGAATGGCCTGATGGACAGCCCAATGAATCAGACATGGATTTCGCGTGAATTCTGATGTTCTTTGTATAGTAAACTTCACCTCCTTCTTGATATTGAAAATAATCACTTATAATCGCAAAATAGAACAGGGAAAAAAAGAGAACTTTTTATTTTGAAATAAAAATACTTTTTAATGTTTCAACATGAGTTTTTCTTCACTCTACAATTGCTTCAGCATATATTACGCCTTTCTCAAAAGTCTACCTAATAAGTACCTAATACAGGTGAAAAAATGGAAAACTACCCTTCTAGTAAAATAATTGTTGTGGAGTAAGTACAATAAATAAATATTTTGTTTCTTATACCATTTTGCTTTACATTGTACGTAATTTCAATTTGTTTTTCAAATCTAGCCTGTACGGGTAACAATATAAAAAGGCAACAGTGCGTACATAGGATTCGTAGATTTAGAAAAAACAAGATGTTAAATATACTTAAAAATGTAGGGATGAGTTACAGAGACAGAAGAATGATACTTAGTAGAGAGGACAAAAAATTAGAAAGTGACTGATTTTCGGTATTTAGGAAGTCAGATAAGATAAGTGGATAACGCAGGGTCGAGTCTCCTTCAATAAAAAGAAGTCACTTCTATGTTCGCGAACGGTTGATTTTGAAATTCGAAAAAGATTGTTAATGGTGTATGTTTGGAGCGCGGTGCTATACGGGTGCGAAACATGGACGGCGGGCGCAGCGGAAAGGAAAAGGTTAAAAACATTNATATGTAGGTACATATTTTCGAGCTCTAGTTCACTTTTATAACTCAATTTGCATCATCTACGATAATATTTGAAAAGTGTCGTCGGTTCAAATTTAAATTACGTTCCACCGCGATGTAGATAAATATTAAAAGTTCTTCCAACATTAACGCATTATCAACGGTTACATGGGGATATGGCTTTTAGATTGCATGACTAACTCTTTAATAGCGGAATTACCTTTTTTAACCCATAAATTCTGACGATCCTACAGCCTGCAGTATAATGTCGCTTGTAAACTTTGTCCATGTAGTTGCGTATATAGTCATGTGTAATTGTATGCCATAATATGCAAATTTCTTTTGTAAAGGTTCAGGCAATACTTCAAAACAGCGATATGCAGTTGGAAATACATTCTGAAAAGAAACACGTTCAGAAGTGGCTCGGACTCGCCACCATTCATAGGAAAAAACGAAGTTTACCTATTCAGAGCCGGTAAGTTTGTAGATGTTGGCCTTTTAGACACGAAATATAGTGAATTCTTGGGACAATTACAATGCTTAAGAATATTTTCTTCTTCAAATTCATCATTTGCAACATTTGCAAAAATTTTTGCATCATCACAGGATCACAAAATTTGTATATTTTTCTAAAATTAGCTCGTATCTTTGAGTGAAATTTTGAAAATGCCTATTTCTTAACCGCCAAAAAAAGTCTTGATTTTATCCTGTCTGCATGACGAAAACGTAAGTGTATCAACGTTTTTCTTACACCTACATTTTCTCCGTGTTTCAAATTTCACATTCGTATATGATATCCATATCCCAAGTGTTTTTGGTTATAAGTCTTTCCAGATGTAATTTTAGTCGCGCGAAATGAACCGCAGAAAAAATGGCTTTCAATTTCAGTTCTCTGAAGCGACGGCATCAATAATTCATCGGTGTGTTTTTGTCATTTACTGTTTTGCTTTTTAAAGTAGAAAAAAAAAATAAGTAACAAGGGTTTTACAGAAACAGAGTTCTAAGCCAAAAGCAACCCAAAGTATGGTTGGAACGATCAAGATTGGCTAGTCAGCAATAAATTATCTGTGAGGATAGACTTTTCATAGACTATTCCTTCTTGTTTCCACTTAGTACTGTAGTCATTTGCTGCATTCTGAACACGTTCTTGTTAAGTGTAAGGAAATGATTAATGAGTAGTGCAGACAAACTGAAATGAGATAACCGAATAATAGTAAGGTTGTTTAGGTACGCAAATATCAGGGTCGGCTTTATAATTGCCTGCTTGAAATTACATCTTTGAACAAACGTCTTTTCTTTTCCGAATTCCTGAAAATGTTGAACTTTCTTTAAAGTCCGATGCTGGCAACATTCTCAAATTCTGCATGCCTTCATCTCTTTCTGTTACACATTAACTGGTGTAGGTAATGTTATTCATTCATCTTTATTAGTATTCGCTGCAATTCCTACCTAACATCTCCTTTCTATGTTAACGATATTCTCTATTGGGATCCGTCAAATGGGAGGACCCTAAAAACATGGCGCCGATAAGGGAAAATTTATCGTAGTTCCTATAATGTACCGTGCAATTTCCAAGTTTAAAATTACGATAAAATGATAAGTATTGACACAATATGAGATTGGGCTGACACAAAGCCTCGGAAAGGAAATTTCGTTGAAGGTGAGCGTGTTTTTAATGCCAATCACATTATAAAATTCGGAAATAACAAATCCGGAAGCTAGCCTTCAAATTCCGTCAAGTTTACTGCCTACTTTTTACAAACTTCGGATTTAAAAAGTGATTCANTACTAATACTAATATAATATTTTTAAATGGTTACAATAAAACTTAAAACTCATAGCGGCAGTCAAATCAAAAACATTGATGGTAATTTTAATTAAAATAAAAACCTTATACTGTGCTACCGTATTTTTTCAATTTTGAGGTTTAATTTACAGTTCCTTGTTTGATAACATGTTTTATACGCACAACAAATTTAAACGACTAAGTTTATTGCGGAAAGTTTGTGAATGTTACTCCTATATGTAGGTACATATTTTCGAGCTCTAGTTCACTTTTATAACTCAATTTGCATCATCTACGATAATATTTGAAAAGTGTCGTCGGTTCAAATTTAAATTACGTTCCACCGCGATGTAGATAAATATTAAAAGTTCTTCCAACATTAACGCATTATCAACGGTTACATGGGGATATGGCTTTTAGATTGCATGACTAACTCTTTAATAGCGGAATTACCTTTTTTAACCCATAAATTCTGACGATCCTACAGCCTGCAGTATAATGTCGCTTGTAAACTTTGTCCATGTAGTTGCGTATATAGTCATGTGTAATTGTATGCCATAATATGCAAATTTCTTTTGTAAAGGTTCAGGCAATACTTCAAAACAGCGATATGCAGTTGGAAATACATTCTGAAAAGAAACACGTTCAGAAGTGGCTCGGACTCGCCACCATTCATAGGAAAAAACGAAGTTTATCTATTCAGAGCCGGTAAGTTTGTAAATGTTGACCTTTTAGACACGAAAAGAGCAGTACGCCATACAGTTAGTTCTTGGGATAATTAAAATGCTTAAAAATATTTTCTTCTTCAAATTCACTATAAAGAGCGAATTTCTACGCATTCGAATTTGAAAATTGGTTAATGAATACGAAGTTTACCTATTCAGAGCCGGTAAGTTTGTAGATGTTGGCCTTTTAGACACGAAATATAGTGAATTCTTGGGACAATTACAATGCTTAAGAATATTTTCTTCTTCAAATTCATCATTTGCAACATTTGCAAAAATTTTTGCATCATCACAGGATCACAAAATTTGTATATTTTTCTAAAATTAGCTCGTATCTTTGAGTGAAATTTTGAAAATGCCTATTTCTTAACCGCCAAAAAAAGTCTTGATTTTATCCTGTCTGCATGACGAAAACGTAAGTGTATCAACGTTTTTCTTACACCTACATTTTCTCCGTGTTTCAAATTTCACATTCGTATATGATATCCATATCCCAAGTGTTTTTGGTTATAAGTCTTTCCAGATGTAATTTTAGTCGCGCGAAATGAACCGCAGAAAAAATGGCTTTCAATTTCAGTTCTCTGAAGCGACGGCATCAATAATTCATCTGTGTGTTTTTGTCATTTACTGTTTTGCTTTTTAAAGTAGAAAAAAAAAACTAAGTAACAAGGGTTTTACAGAAACAGAGTTCTAAGCCGAAAGCAACCCAAAGTATGGTTGGAACGATCAAGATTGGCAAGTCTACAATAAATTATCTGTGAGATTAGACTTATCTTCCTTCTTGTTTCCACTTGGGACTGTAGTCATTTGCTGCATTTGGAACACGTTATTGTTAAGTTAGGAAATGCTTCATGAGTAGTGCAAACAAACTGAGATGATAGTAGAATGAAGATTCGGGCTATAGGGTCGTGATCTAAGTGAACTATTCTATCCAGACGTTTCGTCAGCTACTGAGGCTGACATCCTCAGTGGTAGTGCTGCGTTGACAACGTGAACGTAGATTATATCTCGAAGTTTCGACAGCGACTGGGTCGACCCAGCACTACCACTGAGGATGTCAGCCGCAGTAGCTGACGAAACGTCTGGACAGACTAGTTCACTTAGACCACGGCCCTATAGCCCGAACCTTCATTCTACTATGGATTCCCGCCGCGAAAGCCTTTGTTCTTAAACTGAGATGAGATAACCGAATAATAGTAAGCGGTACAGCGGTTAGAGTTTGTTTAGGTACGCAAATGTCAGGGTCAGCTTTATAATTGCCTGGCTGAAATTACATCTTTCCGAATTCCTGAGAATGTTGAACTTTCTTTAAAGTCCGATGCTGGCAACATTCTCAAATTCTGTTTGTCTTCATCTCTTTCTGTTACACATCAACTGGTGTAATGTTATTCTTTCATCTTTATTAGTGTCCGCTGCAATTCCTACCTGGCATCTCTTTTCTATGTTTACGATATTCCCTATACCTAACGCCTGTCATGACTAAAAGTAGGCGTTCTCTAGGCAACCGCTCTAGTTTAGTTAGTAAGTTGAAAAAAGGAAATAAATGCGACAGTTTTATAGCGGACTACGCCAAATTTGAACGTCCCAACTATATTAGATACAATTCTTTTCAGTTGTTGTACTTTGCGTAATTCCAGTCGATTGTTATTTTTTTTCTCTCATAGTTTCTTATATTTTTACAAAAGGTACCAGCGAGCGTGGTAGTTCTCGAAGAAAAAGAAGAAGNTTGTGGTTCAACATCATATGATTGACTTTTTGACAATTTTTTTTCCTATATAGTTTTTTATGAACTCAATGATGATGCCTGAAAGGCAATTCTAATCGCAAGGGGTAAAAAATGTTTTTTTTTTTGTGAGAGCTTAGAACATACCCAATAAGTGTATTAGGTACCCTAGGAATCCTTTTGTATGGTTGCTTAATGTAATATACTGTTACGGTAGGAAAAGGCAACACAATTGAATGTTGACATGGTTAGGTCCTTCCTTTTGTTCGCAGGAATATGGACTCAGGAGTGATTTCCTAGGAAATGTGTCTAATATAGTTTATTTCATACATTTCCAGGCGATTTTAGGAATTATAAACATTTCCTAGGAATTGTACCTATACAATGACGGATTTCATGCATTTTCGGTAACATATATTATATATGCTTCAAACTCTTACCCCTTCAAATGTTTTGTTTTGTAAAGCTCAAAGACTCAACTTTGAGAATATGGAACGGTTTTTGTGTTGAACGCATCCAAAAATAGCGATTTCTAAAAATTAATGGTAAAAACTTGTAGAATATCTTTACCATATAAAAAAACATATAGACTACTTAAATTTTACCTGAGGCTTTGTCCGCGTTGATGCCCTAAATACGTGCGAAAGTACATCGATGACCACATAAAATTAATTTTTCTGTCCCTCGGGAACAGTATTCTTTGTCTGGATAAAAGGTACCACCCTATGTCCTTCTCTGTACTCCTGACAATGTGTTTACAAAATTTCGTGATGATTAATTGAGTAGTTAAGGCTTGAAATGGTAGCAAATAAACAAAGTAACTCAAAATTCACATTTGCGTTTATATTATTAGTTAGAATTATGCAGTGTGTTTCACAAAAAACATTTAGGCATAACGTTCATGGATGCGGTATATCGCTCTACTCTAAATCTTTTGATTAAAGTGTAACACCCTTCGAAAGCTTTAAATTGCATTTATTGGACTTATAGTACTTTATTATTTATGTGAAAACATGAAGTGTTTGTATACGAATTGTCCCACACCACGTCGTATTTTTTAGATGATACAGTCCTTCGAATGGTTGAATGTCGTCACTAGTGTTTATGTACAACAATTTAAAATAAGATATTCGGGATAGTTATGTAAATTCAGTGTGTTAAATATGGAAGATTGAGCTAAATTGTTTGAAATAATTCTAAAAGTATCATCGNCACGCACCTCCACTCTTTCCTATCTCGAGCTAATCTTCGCATTTCACTAAAACTAGAATTATCGACATCTACCGCTCCTAACTCCCGTTTCTGCCTCTAATATCTCTCTGACTAGACCTTCATGCCTGAGACTTACCTATCGTACCTATTCCTTATTGACTTCCAAGTACTCTATAGATAATTTAGTTGAGATAGTTAGCAAAATTATAAGTTTGTTATTTCAAAAATTGACTGAATCCTAATTTTAATATGTTTTTGGAAAGGGTTACATAAGCTTAAGACATAGAAGGAAACAGCTTTTATGAAAGCAGTTTTTGCCACTAAAATCAGAATAATAAAACGTAGGACTTTATATTTTTTATTTGATTACAGTTTGTGCTTGAAGTTTCCAATAAATTAATCGCTTATTATTATTATACACATTAAGAGAAATAATTAGGTGGAGACAGTTGTCCTTTTGGCTCTCAGTTGCAAACTTTTCCGTTTTACTTCCAAAATCTTTTTCCTTTTCTTTAGAGATCTCAGTCTTAAGTTCTGTGGCTTTTGGGGACATTCTTTGGCAGTTGCGGGACTACTGAAACCATTTTTTTCTTCTAACAATTCTTCTACATTCAAATTTCGAATAATAGTTTGCTCACATCCGTCTTCCACTTTAAACGTACACACAGTAACGAAATTTTCCGTAAGAAAAAAACCTTACAGTACAGTACTCAAAAGTTTATTTCGTTAAAGCATATCTACTAACTTGATTCGACACCTAATTTGCAATGTCAGTTACTAAAGATACGTAAAAACGTTACTCGCTTTTCTTAAAATCCGAATGCCGATTTTTACATAATGTTTCATAGAATATTGTTAAAAATAATAATAATCAACACTACCAGATACTTTGCATCGGCGGTAACTTCTGCCAGTTCGCAAAGAAAAGAATGTTAATTTTACTTATAGTCTGAGTCTTCATTTTTTCTGAATATACTTAGAAAACTCAATATTTCTTGTGAGCAGCTTGACCAGTTATAGGAGCCAAACATGCCCAAGCACAATTGAACAGCCGATGTGGATACAAGCGCAAACGCGATAATTTAAATGACTTTAAACACAGCGACATTTTAATAATGTTTGACACCTACAATTGGTCTAGATCAGTGTTTCCCAACTTTTTTTCCTCGCGAACCAAAAGAAAGGTCCGAAAATATTTGACGAACTCCCTATGTAGTCGTTAATGACAGGTAAAAAATAGCAATAAAATTTTATAGAAATTTGAAAAAGGTTGTTAAAGGTGTATGTTTGGAGCACGGCGTTGTACGGGTGCGAAACATGGACAGTGGGAGCGGCGGAAAAGAAAAGGTTAGAAGCGTTCGAAANCTTATTAGCTTCACAGTTTTAGAAATGGTGATTTTTTGGTTTTCTTTCAGGTTGTAAAAATGTTTATATTCATAGTTCTTACGTTTGGGGTGTGTTGGTTTCCATACCATGCCTATTTCATTTACACCCATTTCGATAAAAAAATTGTGTACAGCAAATACGTCCAGCACATATATTTGGGATTTTACTGGTTCGCAATGGCGAATGCTATGATAAATCCATTAATCTATTACTGGATGAATGCAAGGTAGTTCTATATTTAACACAAATAGAGAATGCTTGTTGTTAACCAATAATCCTCAGTCCAATGCATCACCAATTGTTTTTATTAAATAGCAGACACAAATGTATCTTAGATAGGCTGAACTAGTGTGAAAATAATGTCGAAATCTCAAACAATTTCTTTTTGTTGCAGATATTTGGCAATTGTTCATCCGCTTCGACATAAAATGTCTAAAACATCATCATTAATAACGATTGGTTTCGTATGGTGTGCTAGTATGGCGCTCGCATTTCCATGCCTACTTTATTCATCGACCATAACCTATAGGTAAGTTTTTTTAAAACCAAAATATTGGTCCAATTTGTAGAAATAGCAGTCTGTGGTTCTTTCTGCTTTAAATAGCATTTCAAGTACGTGTTTCTTACGTAAAATTACTTTAAATTGTCGTTTTATTAGCATCAGTGAATTCTTTTTTAGGATATAAAAACAACGCGTAGGTATATGAAATTCAGGAAAAGAAATTCTATAATATTGCTTAGACAGTAGGTAATAAATAATATGAAACATGGTTCTAATGATAGTATGGGGCTAATTACTTCCTACTTTTTTAAAAAATTGGGTAGTTAACGTTTTTAATTTACACAACATTTATCTGACACATGTGATATAAGACATGCTCTGAATGAGTCTCGCTACATAACAAAAGACCAAGAGATAACAACCGGCGAATTTGCTAAAATTGGATTTAATCTACGTAAGCTCCACTAGTTTAGCTTATTAGTAAAGTTTTGCAGATCTATAGTTTTCCTCATTGTTTTGAGATGTCAACAAACGATTTCAATTANAACCTTATACTGTGCTACCGTATTTTTTCAATTTTGAGGTTTAATTTACAGTTCCTTGTTTGATAACATGTTTTATACGCACAACAAATTTAAACGACTAAGTTTATTGCGGAAAGTTTGTGAATGTTACTCCTATATGTAGGTACATATTTTCGAGCTCTAGTTCACTTTTATAACTCAATTTGCATCATCTACGATAATATTTGAAAAGTGTCGTCGGTTCAAATTTAAATTACGTTCCACCGCGATGTAGATAAATATTAAAAGTTCTTCCAACATTAACGCATTATCAACGGTTACATGGGGATATGGCTTTTAGATTGCATGACTAACTCTTTAATAGCGGAATTACCTTTTTTAACCCATAAATTCTGACGATCCTACAGCCTGCAGTATAATGTCGCTTGTAAACTTTGTCCATGTAGTTGCGTATATAGTCATGTGTAATTGTATGCCATAATATGCAAATTTCTTTTGTAAAGGTTCAGGCAATACTTCAAAACAGCGATATGCAGTTGGAAATACATTCTGAAAAGAAACACGTTCAGAAGTGGCTCGGACTCGCCACCATTCATAGGAAAAAACGAAGTTTACCTATTCAGAGCCGGTAAGTTTGTAGATGTTGGCCTTTTAGACACGAAATATAGTGAATTCTTGGGACAATTACAATGCTTAAGAATATTTTCTTCTTCAAATTCATCATTTGCAACATTTGCAAAAATTTTTGCATCATCACAGGATCACAAAATTTGTATATTTTTCTAAAATTAGCTCGTATCTTTGAGTGAAATTTTGAAAATGCCTATTTCTTAACCGCCAAAAAAAGTCTTGATTTTATCCTGTCTGCATGACGAAAACGTAAGTGTATCAACGTTTTTCTTACACCTACATTTTCTCCGTGTTTCAAATTTCACATTCGTATATGATATCCATATCCCAAGTGTTTTTGGTTATAAGTCTTTCCAGATGTAATTTTAGTCGCGCGAAATGAACCGCAGAAAAAATGGCTTTCAATTTCAGTTCTCTGAAGCGACGGCATCAATAATTCATCTGTGTGTTTTTGTCATTTACTGTTTTGCTTTTTAAAGTAGAAAAAAAAAACTAAGTAACAAGGGTTTTACAGAAACAGAGTTCTAAGCCGAAAGCAACCCAAAGTATGGTTGGAACGATCAAGATTGGCAAGTCTACAATAAATTATCTGTGAGATTAGACTTATCTTCCTTCTTGTTTCCACTTGGGACTGTAGTCATTTGCTGCATTTGGAACACGTTATTGTTAAGTTAGGAAATGCTTCATGAGTAGTGCAAACAAACTGAGATGATAGTAGAATGAAGATTCGGGCTATAGGGTCGTGATCTAAGTGAACTATTCTATCCAGA